ACCTGGAAAGCATCCAAGGCAATTAGTGGTGTCTCTTCACCACGCCCCCTCCAATATCTTCTGGGCCTTTGCACTAACTGTTCCCCCTCCTGGCACATGCATGCCCCAGGTCCTTGTGTGGCTCACTCCCTCACAGCATGTAGGTCTCAGCTTAAATGTTATCTCCTCAGGGAGGCCTGGCCTGGCACTCCACGGCTCTCTGTCTGCTCATAAACTTTATTTTGCTTTACAGAACTTTGCATTCCTGGGCATTAAGCTCTGCATTTCTTTGTTATCTGTCTGACATCCATCTCCCTGCTGGCAGAGACTATGAGCTTCTTGAGGTTCCGTGATCACAACCACACACCCAGAGCCTCAGGTAGTGCCAGGCATAGAGCTGATACTCAATAAATACTAGTAGGATGAATTAATACTTACCCGTCTTTTCTTCTCCATGTCTACCTTCTCCTTCCTCATACTTCCTCTCCTACCCCCATCTCTCCTGCCTCTGCCTCAAATCTGCCGGTAAGATCAATCCTCAGGAACTTGGCAGGTAGGTAAGTTTGTGCTCTGGCCTCCTCTTCTTCCATCTCCCTTTCCTGTCCTCCCTCATGGGTACCTATTTTCCATCTGCAGCTGCCCACTGCCAGCTCTGGCCTTCTTGGTGAGCAGGACCCAAGCTCAGGCACTCCAGAAAAAATTGTAAGAAAGGCAGGGCTCATTCTCCAAGGTATTCCTGCCAGGCTCATGGAGAGCATCTTTCAGCACCTACAACCCAGCTTCTTGTCTTTCTCACAGGAGTCGATGCTACCATCATGGGGATTCAGCCCCTCCCTTCCTTCCACTTTATGCCTCCTTTCCCCTGCCGTGACTGACAGTATCCAACTCTACCCGCATCCCACCAGCTCTCCTTCCTGGCTTCTGCAGCTTCCTGTGTAATAAATTTGGATAGAAGCGTCCGCTGTGTGCAAGTTCCCATGCCGGCATCGCCCCACCGGTGTGCGCCCCCTTTGCTCTTTTCCTGCCACTGCCTCTCCTTCCTGACAGCCTTCAAAACTCCGCTGGACCCCACCCCTGCCTTGCTCCTCTAAAGCCCCCTACCCACCAGGGTCTCTACCATTCTGGTGGCAAACAGTCACATACTCCACAGCGGCACGTCCTGCCTTCATTTCCCACTTGACTCCCCAGCAAGGGTATAAACCGCTTGAGGGCAGGAGCTGTGTCTTATCTTCAGAGACCTAACATAAAAAGATTCGGGCAAACAGCCTCTTTTCACAGACATCAGATCTTCCTTTTTCTCCTCCCACCATCATCCATTCCATCCGCCTAATATCATGAGAGAACAACTCGTAAGTAGATCGAACGACAGCTATGCAACCACAATGCATATGGGGTGCTCACTGCAGCTGGGTGCTGGGGGTGCCCTGGTGGGCAGCAACAGACAAGAGTCCCTGCTTTCCTAGGTCTTATAGTCTAGGAGGGGAGGGAGAGAGATCAGTCAAATATTTACACGAATAAATCTATAATTACATGACTCCTGAGATAAGATCTGAAGGAAGGGAGCATTAGGAAAGAGAAAGCAGAGGAATTTGCTCTGGCTTGGTTGGTCAAGGGACATGCCTGAGACTTGATGGATGAACCCCGGACAGAAGGATCAGCATTTGGAAATGGACAACTGGGTCCCAGTCATTCCAGAGAAAGTTGTATCTCTACATAGCAGGGGATCATATAATTTATTGCCCAAACTGGGACATTTTTAAGAGTAAAAGTGGGAGCTCATAATAATTATGCTGGGCCAGTTAATAACTGTAGATGTTTGGGCAAGCGTTGTGCATGGGTGCGCTAATTCAAGAGCAACAGTCTCTCTGCCTCCTGTCCATCTAGCCGTGAAAGGAACTTCAGCTATTGGTCAATGTTGCCAGAGACCTGAGCCTTCGCCTCCGTTAGACAAGAAAGAAGACAGAGGTTGCACTCCAGGAATAGGCCCCGGGGGAGAAGGTAAGAAGGACAATGCCAGCCCCAGAGCTAGAACCAACAAAAAAGAAACAAGGGCAGGCCCGTGCAGTGGGGAACCTGTGGGAAGTGGGTGGGTGTGCAATGCGCACCAGCTTTCAGTTGCTGTGGCTTTGAGCTAGGCTCACACAGGTGGCTCTGCAGGCTCTCCACCCTCCCCAGCTGTCCAAGTCTTGCCTGCTTCAAGGAAAACAGCTTCCTGTGGCTCCTTTGAGTTTCTTTTGCTTTACCTCCTTGTGCAAAGGTGGCCTGATTCGTACTTGGAGTATAGGTAGAGCCCCATGGAGTGTGTGTGTATATGTGAGTGTGTGTGTGTGTGTTTCTGAGTGTATGAGAGTGTATGTGTGTGAAAGTGTATGTGAGAGAAAAGTGTGTGTGTGTGTGTGTTTCTGAGTGTATGAGAGTGTATGTGTGTGCAAGTGTATGTGAGAGAAAGAGTATATGTGTGTGTGTGTGTGTGTGAGGGAGAGAGAGAGAAAGAGAGTGGAGAGGGTGTGAGAAAACAAAAGGACTCTCTCCTGGGTGTGCAACCCCAGAGAGAGAGAGAGAGAGAGAGAGAGAGAGAGAGACTTATTTCCCTCTGCCCCTCTGTCTGTCTGACTCTCAGACTATTAATACAAGCCCCGAGTCTGGCTGCACCCTCAGAACATGTACTCCCGGCAGCAGAAGCCTCCCCCCTCCCAGCTGAGCCTGTTGTCTGTTCCGTTTCTGATCGGCGCCAGGCTCATAGACCCCATGTAGGTAGAATATAACTTTCCATAAATAACCCCTAGCCTGACCTACAATTTAGCCTTTGGGTTTTTTTCCCCTCGTGGTAATGGGATTGTAGCCTGGGCTGATCCCTCCTGGATCTCTGGGTCCAGAAAGCAGATCTGAGGTGTATATGGGGTGAGGCATTGTTTGGAACTTCTGGTCCCCCATGCTGCCTGACACATGGTAAGGACTCAGTACTTGTTGAGGAATGGTGGATTCAGTCTCATCCACCATGAATGGCCATTTACCTTCAGACCCAGTGCCTTTGCCTGGGCCGTGCCCTCTGCCAAGAATGCCTGTGTGTCCTTCCTCACCTGGTGAACCTCTAAGCAGTATCCACCTCTGGGAAACTTTTCCAAACATTTATCCCTTGTCCCCACCACGGAGCCAATTACTCCTGTCCTTGGTCCTGTAACACTTTGTACAGAACAATGTGACCTGATTATCTGCCCATCTGCCCACCAGTTTCTGAGCAGCTTGAGCGAGAGTATGTTGGGGGGCGGGGACTGAGCCCATTTCCAGCTGTGGGCAAAACATTTAACCCCTTGGTGCCTCTGATTCAAACACAAACATGGCTCCAGAGCCTGTATCTCCCCACCCCCCACCCTCCCACACTGAACCACATAGCCACCAGGGGCCAAACCAGGCTCTAGGGCACTCTTCACAACCACAGATCCCCTGCAGGGTCTCACTGAGGCCTCCTGGGGCCTGGAGGCAGCAACACCCGCTGACACCTAGCACAGACTTGTCGATGATGATAATGGATTTAGAAAGGTTCATTGGCAGTTAAAGTGAAAATTCGACAGGGCGGACCTCAGCTTACTTTGGGGGTAAGGAGGGCTCTTGGGGTGGGGCCCATCCCGAGATTGGTTTAAAGCTTTGCAATTGATTATCCCTCTCTGAAGAGTATTTCTTGAGTCTCAGCCAGCATCCAGAGAAGTGCAAGACATTGTCTATGCTTGTGACAATCTTACATCTTCACTAGTGAGACATAAAATTCACATTTGAGAAAAGCCTTGGCTGAGCTCCCTGTAAGCTGGTCCTGAATTGTGCTTGGCTTTGTGTCTATCCCAGTACTAAGCAGGGCATAGCCAGGTGAGGCAGGTGGTCCATGAATGAATGTCAAATGAAATATACAGAATCAGGAACCCAAACAGAGACACGGATAAAAGGGGCTGGACCTTTGAAGCGAGAGGGATCAGTGGGGATTGGAACATCTCTGGAAGGATCAGGAGAGATGAAAAGGAACGTGAACTCCAGAGAAAGAGTGGGATATGTTGGGGGTGGGGGACAAACTAAGGAGGCGGGGATCAGTACAGCATAGGGCCACTTGGAGTCAGTAAGGAAGCCTGGTGGGGTGGAGGATGGGAATCAAGCCGGCAAAAGCCTTGTATGTCAGACCAAGAAGCCTGAACGTGATCCTGGGCAAGGAGGAGCTATTAAGGGATTTGGGGCAGGGGCGTGACACGATGACAGTGGTGTGAAGGGCAGGCTGCTAGAGGGAGACCAGGCTGAGGTTATTACAATGGCCGAGTAAAGGAATGAGGTCTAGGTTTGGAAAGGAAGAGACGAACATGATTTTACAAAGGAAAGACATAATTGTCACAAGGGCCACTATAGCACAGGCAAAGGTGTCGTAGTGACCAAGAGAAGGATGTTAACTTTGACAGAAATGACTGTGTGGTTGACAAAATGAGACCACATCCTCTCTGTAACGACTCATTGTCTTTATTAACAATGGCTCTGGGTTTTGAAAGATCAGACTGGTATTTCATAAAGCAATATTAACGTTATCGTTTGCTACAAGAAAAACTTTTGCATAAATAACTTAAGTGAGAAAATAAATATGTAACTTAACTCTTTTTAAAAACCACGACTTTCATTCTTGTGGACAAATTCCCCATGAAAGGATTGCAGAAAACAACCAGCCCAGCAGGCTTTCACATGGCATGTGCTTTTGTTTACAAAAAAAAAAAAAA